AAGAAATTCCGTAAAAAGAAGATAAGAGAGACAATGAAATTGCAAAAAAATGTGGTATAATTAGCAAATGTATAAAGTGTAATGAGGCCTGGATTGCTACAAGATTCAGATAAATATTAAAATAAATTAGCTAAAACCTGCAAAATGCTAATGTAATCGATGATCTACAAGTTAAAAGTGCCAAGAATGATTCTTAAGGGGTATGGAATACAATCAAACGGCATCAAATATGACCCCTGGTACAACTATTGTTCAAACTATCAATGAGAAAGATCCTGAGCTATATAACTTCATTTTGCCAAATGTTGGATCAAGATTACAAAATCAGGCCCCCAGTATGAAAGAGTAGATTTTACTGATTTTTTTACCGTCCTAGAACTTCTAACATCTCATTTGATAGATTCCAAGAAATAATGAAACCGATTCCTATATGTATGTCCGAAACGCTCCAAGAATGACAAGGCCCATATGAACGATGTGCCTCTATTTTTACTTAAGCAAGCTGTACCACACAGATTTGAGCCACGACCCATATTGTCACTTTGAGCCTTTCATATCAGGTGTTGTCCACCCCTTTTGTAAAAAAGCTAGAGTAACTCCCAACCATAAGGTCAGGATAAAGATGATCTAATAATTACAGCCCCATACCATCCTTCCAGTTTGGCTCGGGGGGGGGGGTGGGTATTATGGCTTGGTAAGAAAACTTATAGAATACTTTGTCGGCAGCAACACACTGATTACATGGAATGAGAACAAAACTAATTCATTCCGGCATCAATATGGCTTTCGGAAAAATCACTCACACATATTTGATGTACGAACTTATCTGGACGAAATATATATGAGTAAATCTAAGTCTTATGAACCAGGAATCATCTTTCTTGATCTTAAGAAGGCCTTTGACACAGTGAATCATGAAATATTGCTTCAAAAATTGGCATATTATGGAATTGGTGGCATTGCTTTAACCTGGTTTAAGGACTTCTTATCTTGTAGATATCAATGCACTAGGATCAATGGCAATCTAAGCTCATTTTTAGAAGTTCTGAGTGGTGTACCACAAGGAAGCATCATTGGGCCTATATTATTTAGTATCTTCATAAATGACATCATTTATGCCTGTAACCTATCTAAGCCCTTTCTATTTGCAGATGATGGTGCACTATTCTTTGATCAAACCTGCAGAAGCACATTTATAAACATGAAAATAGAACTTATGACAATCTTTAAATGGCTCAGTGTTAATAAATTATCACTCAATGAAAAGAAGACTGAATTCCTATTGTTTGATTCTGTTGACCAACATGATGAAATAACCATTGATTGTAATGAGGTAACTTTCACAATCAAGGAGTGCAAAGAGACAAAATATCTTGGCCTCATTCTAGATAGTAAATTAAACTTTAAAAGCCATGTAGATTATATTATTAGGAAGGTCATGAAGAGAATTGGTGCCATGTATAGAAGTAAAGCACTGCTACCCATTAAATATAGGAAAATGTTTGCCAATGCACTCATGTTGCCACAATTCGATTATTTAGACACGATCTATTGTAGAGCTGGCAAGACAAAACTTGCTGAACTTGACACTCTGTACAAAAAGGTAGCCAAAATAGCTCTCAACGTTCCAAAAACAGAGAGCAGCCTTAATGTTTATAGAGACATGAAATGGTTACCACTCCATCTTAGACGACAACTCCATCTGTCAAATTATATGTTTAGAATCATCCATGACAATTGTCCTACAAACTTTATGAACAAATTTAGTTACATATCAGGAGGTAGTAGGAGCGGCGAAAGCTGCAACCTTTATGTCAATAGATCAACATCACATAAAAACTTTCAATACTTGGGGGCAAAATGTTGGAATAATGTTCCAACAGATCTACGAAATCTGCCCGATGTTAAAAGCTTTAGTGATTCGTATAAGAAACAGCTACTATCATCTATAACAACAGACCCTAATTATACCGTCGACAATTCATATGACAAATTTTACACTGCAATCATAGTCGCCGATAACTAAGTAACTTCTAATTCTTTTAAATCTGAGGCATATATAATTGATGTATCGAAAAGATATTCCCTTTTTTACCACCTTACCATTCTGATTGATTTTGCACATGACTGACATGTTTTAACTGGAGAAGGGGTTCCCACAGTGGTAGTTTTATAAACCACTTTTAATTTATTGACCTATTATACTTAGTGGTAGTTTTATAGACCACATTTAATTTATTAACTTATCATACTTAGTATTTTTTTTTGGTGACTGTATCACCCAGTTTTAACATTTGATAATTGTACAGTTTATTGACGACACATTGACTGAATGTTATTTTATATTCTAATTTATATTCTAGATATTTTATTTATTTTACAACAGACGACAACTTCCTGTTTTTTCTTCTATATTAGTTACTCATATCTCTTGTACAGACTTTTTTACAAGGACATTGACAAATGATACTCACATTAGGCATTCATTATTGCATCTAAATTATTTCACTTGCATTAGGCTTAGAAATTTATTCTCTGGTCAACAGATTTCAAATGTTTAATTAATTTGTAGTATGACAGTAAGGTATATAAGAAGTTATTTAATTTTGCTTGGGCTATTATATTGACTAGGTATTGAGGTTTAATGATGATATGGAATTTGAATTCTATATAAATTTACACTATGTGGTTGGGGCATTTTGCATAGTAAATATGGTTACTACTCATATATATCATATTATTTGATTGGTATTCGATTTCTGATTATTTCTCTAGGAATATGATTATTATATCTCAATTTGGCTTTAGGTAGGGTGCCCCGCTAAAAGAACTGGATTCTTCCAGGAAGCATCCCGTGCACAGAGCTTGGTCTACATATATATTAAATTATTAACCATTCATTCTGTATGTGCACGAAAATTTATTTCAATCAATCAAAGATCTTTAAGATGTTCATTTATGTTCTATTTTCGATTTGAATAAAGTTATATAATAATAATAAAAGTCAATTTCAAAAACTGCTGCAGAGGAATTGGTGCACATTCATTTGCATATTACAAGTTAAAATTGATGATTGAATATTCTAATCATTTGGATAAATGGTTGGATATATGGAGTCGTTTTAGCATTTCTGAGAACACTAATTTTATAATATATATATTCTTTTTTGCGTTTCACTGTGTCTGCCACCAAAATTGTAATGCAGGTCAGAAAAGGAGGCTCTATCCTTGGACACCAACATCTTTTGGGTTGGCACCCGGGAGAACGCTGCCTTATTCTTTTGTATTCTGTCTCAAGTACTAGAGCATATTTTTCCACTCTGTTTATTTCTCAGTCTCTACTTGTATGTTGCCCAGATAGTTTGGTATGACTGTATTGGATTTTCATAAATAACTTTTATCATCAGCAGTAAAATGTTTCAATCATTTTTTATTGTATATTGGAGTACCTATTCAGATTATTTGTATATTTGGAGTTCTATAGAATTTTTATAGAAATTTTAATATTTTAGGGATTTTCATTTTTATTATCTTGTCTATTATTTTGATAGGCTGATGAGTTTCATACTAAGATCTCTTGTGGTCATCATCCATTTTTCAAGTCCTTTGTTAGAAAACCTGTTAACCTTTCTGGGATATCTTCTTGTTAGGTGCAACTGCCTTATTTAGTCAGGATTTAATTTTTTTTTTTTTTTTTTTTTGGGTTGGGGCACCCACTTTACCTTCCTTTCGGAAGGCTACGTCCGTCTGGTGACTAACGTCTATTGGGGTCCCTCCGGTTGTAGGTGTCACAGGGTACGGGCACTTGGCATGGGCTAGTGCTCCTTACCCTCCAGAGGATAAAGCCTGGTGAGCGACGTTTTCCCGAAGGAAAACTGTCATAATGCTCGGTCTCGGGAGAGCACCACCCATGCCTAGGTGATCTCCCGGGCGCTCTTTTAGAACAGGCTGCCCCCTGTCTTTCTAGTGAGCAGACAGGAACCTACCGGGCATACCTGAGCATCTAGTATCTCTTGCCCAAATCTATGTCTTCTTTTATTTACGCGCGTCTTTGCGACGCGCGCGGTATAATGTTGACAATACTAAGCTACCAAGCAAATTTGTGTTTTGTGAAGACCCTTTTTTTGTTTAATTTCAAATTTTGGGCCGCGTGTGACTTTTCTTTGTTTGTGTGTTTGTGTTGCTTCCGTTTACCGGAGTTTTTCTGGGTGCTAATTATCCACTAGCTGGAAAAGGAGTAAGTGCTAGATATCCACTAGCTGGAGAATAACTAATTGCTAGATATCCACTAGCTGGAGCGGCCTGGGGGGCGGCGTGTGAGTGAGTGAGTGAGTGGGGTGGGAACGCCTGGAAATGAGACTGGAGAGACACTGTCCGTTATCTGGGTGAGCCACCACCGATAGTGCTCCCACTTTTGAGGGGCTGAGGGTGTTGGCTCCAAGAACCAGCCGTGAGCGAACAGCGCCTGACCCCCTCTATGGTTAACTTGAGAAAACAGGACTTTGCCTTTCTCCAGGCCAATCCGTTCAGTAACCATCTGACCCAGCACCACCTCTGATGGAAGATGTGGTTCGGATTGGACTTCGCTAGGATTTGTCAGTTTTTCTGTAGACACTAATGCTCCCTCGAGGAAAGACATGAGCCCCGGCGAAGCTGACCAAAAACGTGGCAGGGATTCTCACCCTACCAGGATTTAATTTGCAGTTATAAACTTCTGTTTTCCTAATAGTTTCACCCCAGTCCAAGGCAAGATGCACAATCTCCACTGTCAATTAGGTATCATTTACAGCTGAGCACAAGGGTAAAATTAAAATTATTTAACCTTTTGGTGTTGTATAAAAATAAAATTAATTTATTATTATATCGGGTCTCAATAAGAGGTCTCGACTGCCTGGGCATCAAACCTTGGCAATCGGTATTATTATTATTATTATTATTTAGCTATTTATAATTAGCTTTATTTGTTTGTTGATATACTGACTAACCCCCCAACCCAGCAAATGATAGTAACAAGATTAAACTCGTGTGCAAGAACTATGAGTACCAAAGTAGCAGTATTGCTGTCTGGGTGTGGAGTGTACGATGGAACTGAGGTTCATGAGAGTAGTGCAGTATTGACACACCTCAGCAGACAGGGGGCTCTGGCTTCCTGCTTTGCTCCCGATAAGGTTTGTCACAGACCTGCTGTATTTTCGCATGACCAAATGTACTTATGTTATTATAGTCTCACAGGCCTGCTATATTTTTGTATTAGCAAATAAATACATGTTACAACCACACAGACCTACTTTGTCACAGGATCAAATGCATGTGGTAGATCACACTGCTGGAACAGAGATGTCGGAGACACGAAATGTGTTGAAGGAGTCAGCAAGAATTGCACGTGGTAAAATCAGTGCTCTCACGGAACTGAATGTTGGAGACTTTGATGCGCTCATTGTACCTGGTAAACCTTAGTGAGCTTGTTTTGTACCTGGTAAACCTTATTGAGCTTGTTTCATACCTGGTAAACCTTAGTGAGCTTGTTTTGTACCTGATAAACCTTAATGAGCTTGTTTTGTACCTGGTAAACCTTAGTGAGCTTGTTTTGTACCTGGTAAACCTTAGTGAGCTTGTTTTGTACCTGGTAAACCTTATTGAGCTTGTTTTCTGGGCTGCCAGAAACTTGGCCCCCTAAGATTCAATAACCTGAACAATTCAATAAATAAAGTCAAATTTTATACAGCACTCCATCGGTAATTATTTGAGTAAATTATATAATAAGCCCTATTTTTTTTATTTGAAAATTCAATTAATCATTATATATATAAATCAAGCGTTACATTTCAGCCATGCAAGATTACAATGACATATTTTGATATACTAAATGATAAATGGTACTGCAATATAAATTGCTTAATGTTTGGCCGGATGACAACTAACGAGAAAAATAAACTTGATTATATAATAATTAATTCGGCTGAACCAACACATAGCAAGAGCCACATTAACGTTGGGGCCGTCTACCAAATTTGAATGACAAACATTAACAAGAAATCAAACATATCATAAATAATTATAAGGATTTTGTTCATTACAATTCCGTCACAACTGATAAAGAAAAAAGAAAGGACAAGCAGATAGGAAATTGGACGGACAGAATTGTAACCAACAAAAACAAATTTCTGAGACTCATAAGACTGATGAACTAATCTGGCCAGACTGTATCGGCAGTCCAGAGGTACTTGATCAGTTTGGCCTTAAAAGTAGAAATCCGCTCTGACTGCCGGATACATACTGGTAGACTATTCCATTTCAGCATAGATCTATGAAAAAAGATATTTCGGAAGGCATCCGAGCAGGGCACAGTGGTACTCATGTAAGTTGAAGTATCCGACATATCAATTATTTGAGCATTGTGCCTAGTGTATCGGGTGCCCTCTGGACGGCATAGGACTATATATGTAGGGAGCGAAACTGGAATTATGCTATTCACTATTTTATAGAAGGTCATAAGATCGTTATAAATAAACTTCTGTTTAACAGGGAGAATATTTAGTTTCTTTTGCTCTGTAGCAAGTTTATCGTCATTATAACTGGAGTAAGGTTCACCATTGATCCATTTAATAGCCCTCTTTTGGATAGCAACAAACTGTTGAAGATGAGTTGCAGATTGAGGGGACCATATGACAGAACAATGTTCAAATATAGACCTAATTAACGCTAAATAGAACGATCTTTTCTGCCTTTTATCAGTAGTGAAATGACATGTTCTCTTAAGTAGTCCAAGTCTAGAGGTAGCTTTGGAAACAAGCGCTTTACATTGTGCACCCCAATTAAACCTGGAGTTTATTGCGACTCCTAAATCTGACTGAGAGGGCACAAAGTCAATATCACTTCCAGAAAGTTTATAAAAGAAGGTATTGAATGGCAAGTTATCCAGCACGTTTCTTTGCACTTCTTCTTTATAAGAAACTATAGATAATGCTATAAAGGATGCTGCAAATCAGATCGTAATACTGTTAATAAAACACCCTACTAAGGAGATAGATATAAATATTAAATATAATAGTGGAATCTGCTATTCCAGGAAACAAGCAGACCTATCAGTGGCTGACACGTAATAACCAATCAACTAGAATTCCAGACAACTTTGTATTGCTCTTTAACTAGTATAATTAGTAATTCAATGTGATAATTTAACAGTTAACAAGTAAATGGACAATTTTTCATTCTGAATACTAAATACTGATCCATGATTAGAACAAAAATCTTAGAGATTATGTTTACATCTTACATATAGCTAGTATGTACAGAGTTGTCATGTGAACTTTTCCCTACTTCTAGTTCAATCATGGATCACAGATTTACTTATTAATCGTCACTGATTGGTAACATGATCTGATCCCCACAGGGATGTCGGCCTCCCGTTTTCTGTTATTGTTGCTTTGAAAATATATAGCCTGCTCATTACTCAATGCTGATAATCTAAATTCTAATGTCTATCTATTTATTGAGCAGGATATGTTTGTCAGGTGGGTTTGGTGCAGCTAAGAACCTGAGCAGTTTCGCCACACAAGGAGTGGACATGACAGTGGACCTTACTGTCAGCGACAAGATAGCTGCTTTCCACTCTGCTGGGAAACCTATTGGACTGTGCTGTATTGCACCTGTATTAGCTGCTAAACTTATCCCTGGTGTCGAGCTGACCGTAGGTGAGTGTAGCATATTATACAGTGTCCAGAAACGGCGACCAAGTGATCAGTTGTAAGAACGATTTGAGAACATAATTTATAATGTACAGGGGCTGAAGGGTGATTTCTCTTGGAGAATTTCTCTTTAGACTCTTAACTTGCGAACAAATTGAAGCAGCAAACTTTAGGCTAGAAACTTTATTGAATTGAAATAATCATTCCACGTAACAACGTCTTCTTCAGTTCTGTAATAAAATTGTTAAACATGTGTAAAAATTAACGACGGAAAGAAATTTAAAATAACATTAAAACAAAAACAGAGAAATAAAATTGGCTGAAAATCTTAATTTGGGCTGAAGGGTGTCAACTGTTAAATACTCATTGCTCTCAGCTGATTACTCCATCACCTGATCAGTTAAACGGGCGATCAGCTATCTACAAGCTGACTACAAAGGTGCAATGTGCGACTTCGTGAAAGATGTATTGCTGCATCGTTTCACAAAATTAAGATTTACAGTTGATCAGATACCAGGGAGAAGGTTACCCAAACGATGGGCTCGACTAATTTCCTTAACAGGACTCCGAAAATCTAAAAGAATATTTAACGATTAGTCATTGGAAGCAACGTTACGCCACTGATTGGAAGAGAAATCAATTAAGGTACTCATCATGACATACCAACAAGCTTTGTTCGTGTGTTCCGAACCAACCAGGCCCCTGCAGTTGTTTGGCAGTGTCACAGTGTGGTGGATATTTCCCTTGGATTACTCCTAAACATTTGTGAATCGCAATAGTTGTGGGCTGTCACTCTTTTTTTGCAATACAATGGAAATGATTCGGGGAAGGTTCTCAATATTTTCTGATCTATGGATACTTTTGCTGTCTTAAATTGCTACCAAGATTTCAAAGTTGATTTTGCTCAATCCAACCACGTTCCCAACATATCCTAAAATTTACTCGAAATTTTGACACAAGTTGTTTTTTTTTGCGATAATTTGCAATTGACAGCATTTTACGAAACTTTTTGAGAATCTATTTTTGACCAAGCTGCTCGACCAGTCAACAAGAAATCAACTCAGTTCCGCCTACTATAAGAGTCATAAATGAAACTCATGGTAAAATTCAGATCTCTACCCTTGTAGGAAATTCATACCTGGAAACATGACCTTATACGGTATTGTTACTATGGTAACATTACCCCGCTATTTCACTCTCCACTTCAGGGAGTGATCAGGAAGGGACAGATAAGTGGCCATACGCTGGAACTGCTGCTGCTATTGATGCTATGGGTGGGAAACATGTTGTAACAGACGTCTCAGAGGCCCACGTCGACTCTAAAAACAAGGTTAAAATTGTTAGATTTACTAATTATGAATGTTGCAGGTTGTTATTAACCAAGGTTAAACATTGTTAGATTTACTAAGTACGAATGTTGCAGGTTGTTATTAACCAAGGTTAAACATTGTTAGATCTACTAATTATGAATGTTGCAGGTTGTTACTACTGCAGCCTTTATGTGTGAGACTGATCTACATGAAATACATGACGGTGTTGGTGCCATGGTTACAGAGGTTCTGAAACTAGTTACGTAAACTTCAGGACTAAATCTATAATATTTCCTTCTTTGGTAATTTATTTTAGATACAAGCTAGCATGATGTCTCCTTTTGAATTTCCAAGAAAACTTTAGGGCTAATTTTTGTTTATTTCTGGATATGAAGTACCTAGTTTATCTATATTTTTGGTTTTACTGTAATAATATGCTAATATAGAATTTCTAATTAACGCATCAGCTACACTGCAAGACCTTTTTAAAAATTATCTTAAATTGGGCACCGATTTGGTATTTAAAAGCTTTGAATCGTTACAAAGAATGCATATTTTGAGTCGAGTGAGTTTATTATTCATATTTTATTGTAAAATAATTTGGAAACTGTATTGTTTAACGTTCGTTCACTGAACTTCTGTTTTTACTTAATAAGATTTCAATAGGAATAGATAGTACTATCGGGTACCAGTATATATAAAATGTATTAGTGATGGTATTAGTTTCGTCTTGCGTTTTGAATGAACAAATGAGAAGAGCAAGGATGTCAAAAATAGTTATCGTCCCTCTCCCTCTCCCTCTCCCTCTCCCTCTCCCTCTCCCTCTCCCTCTCCCTCTCCCTCTCCCTCTCCCTCTCCCTCTCCCTCTCCCTCTCCCTCTCCCTCTCCCTCTCCCTCTCCCTCTCCCTCTCCCTCTCCCTCTCCCTCTCCCTCTCCCTCTCCCTCTCCCTCTCCCTCTCCCTCTCCCTCTCCCTCTCCCTCTCCCTCTCCCTCTCCCTCTCCCTCTCCCTCTCCCTCTCCCTCTCCCTCTCCCTCTCCCTCTCCCTCTCAAGGTTAATACGGAATCAGCGTCTAAATAGTATACCCTTAAATTTGTTCATATTGGTGGTAATGGGCCGGTCCTGAAGAACATGTACATGTCAGTCAGACGCTTTGTTTCATAAGAGTAGAAAACTTACGCGCATATGACACGCGCAGTCAATACCGCGTGGTTTATAATGAGAGATTTTCATGACAGTCCACACGATGAAACTATAGTGCAGGGATATTCCAAAAGAATACCTACATTTTAGTTTTGAGACTTATGCTCACAAAATTTACGAAAGATCCTAAAGTGGAGGAATCGCACCTACCAACAGAATACACCTACCTATGTACTGGGTACACAAGTTTTCAGCATATTCTCAGTCAGCTTCGACAGCTTGTCCGAGCCATTGCAGAAAAATAACCTAAGGGGTCGTTCACATACTACGTAATCATTTTTTGGAACAATCCCCCCCCCCCCCCTCCGTAATCAATTTTACACATAGCTATTGTGCCAAAATTACACTAGCGTAATTATTTGGAAACCTCCCCCCCCCCTCAGCTGATTACGTAATATGTGAACGACCCCTAATGGTGTGGTCAGCGGTAGAACCTATTTTGGGGTTTTATTTTAGCTTAGAAGGAGACGCAAAACTGTGGGATCTTCTGCCTAAGACGATAAATAAGGTAACGGACCCCAATTATTGATAAAATAAAAAGTAATCGAGATAAATTGCAAATAATAATTGAAATGAATCGTCACATGCATATTGCTTACTGGAAATGAATTGAACAACTTCTATTTCTAACTAGGAGGAACCGTTCCGTCTAAATTTGGCCTTGGACTAGAGTTGGATTATCTTTCATTCATCATAAATAGTTATACCGATTAACACAAATCGAGGTTTTATGCCTTAGGTGTCTTTTCAGCTGTATTTAATTATGTATAGATCATCTTTTTGTAACTTTTTGACGGCTTCATATCGACAAGCGAACTTGAAAAAACTATACACATCTTTTATAAAGATTGTGGCCAGCGTTTTATGCCAAAATTCTGTTTATAAATACATAACAGAGAAGATATAAAAATCTGAAAAGCATTAAATCTTAATTATCAAAAATCTAATTAGTCTGTCAATCTTATCGTTTCAAGGTCAATAGTTTCATAAAATCTGATTCACTTCTTTAAATAATTACATCTTAACGAATGATATGATTCAGTTCGGTTAGAGTGACAAATATTGGGAATCACACGGTTGAATTCTTGTTTGTAGATCTAGAGTTATCGTTGCTAGGGTTGTTGCTAGGGTTGGTTATAACGATGTTATTGCTCTCCTCTCTCCGCCTATTCCAGATGAGAGCAGCTATCATCAGAGCTAATATGACGAGGACAGCACATCCTACCCCTGCCAGAGCGTAATACAACGCCTCTCTGCTGGTGTCGTCCCTACAGAAGTCAGCCCCTGCGTTAGAGATCTCTCCTTCTGGACAATCTTCACAGATGTTCTGGTTTGAGAAGGTGTTCTCTGGACATTGCTTGCACTCTGCTGATTCAGAAGTTATGAACCCTGTTCCTGATGTACAATCTCTGTTAATGGTTATGGTGAAAGGAACTGTTGTGTAGATCTTAGTGATAGGGTCCCTAACTCCACATCTCCAGTTTTCTGTCTCGCTCCGAACATTAATTGATGATGTTGTAGTTTTTGAGAGGATCAAGGTTACTCTGTAAGTTCCAGAACCTTCTTTATCTATCACCATCTTGTCACCTTTTGTGGTGATGTTCTGAGATGTATAGTAGACTCCTGAATCATCAATAAGATACAAGTTTTCTTCGTTTTCAGAAGAAAACATTTCAAAAGTGACTTTGCAGGTAGCAGAAACTTCTTTACCTGCCAACCCAGTGACGTTATTAGCCTCAAGGGAGGGGGGTTTCTTAGTGGTTATGGTGAAAGGAACTGTTGTATAGATCTTAATGATAGGGTCCCTTACTCCACATCTCCAGTTTTCCGTCTTGTTCCAAAAATTAATTGATGATGTTGTAGTTTTTGAAAGGATCAAGGTTACTCTGTAAGTTCCAGAACCTTCTTTATCTATCACCATCTTGTCACCTTTTGTGGTGATGTTCTGAGATGTATAGTAGACTTCCAAATCATCAAGAACTTCGATAAGATACAAATTTTCTTCGTTTTCAGGAGAAAACGTATCAAATGTGACTTTGCAGGTAGCAGACACTTCTTTACCTGCCACCCCGGTGACGTTACTAGCCTTAAGAGAGACCTGGTAGAAAGTGTGGGATTTGTCCTCCACCTGACAGGTAACCTGAGTGTAAGAAGCGGATGAGTTCAGACTGTAGACTGCAGTGAATAAACTACTGTTAGCAGTGTCCCGTGTAGCCAGGGAGGTGATGTCCTGGTTATCCTGGTCAGTCCAAGTGATCTTAGGGGGTGTTGGAGACCGGGTACTACTGCAAATCAAGGGAGCATTCTCCGTGAAATACTTTCTGTTGGCCGTCAAAGTCAGTTCAATAACTGTGTCCTCCATACAGAGACTGTATGGAGTTGGTGCTATCTTTCCTTTGTCATCTATTGTGTTTGTGCAACTTGTAATTGAGCTTTTCCAGCCGACTGGGAATTTGTATAAGACAAAGTCATCACAGTAGAATTCTTCAGCCATAAAATTGTCAGGTGCTGCTGTACAATCTGTCTGTGATGTAGGATCGCTGAAAATGATATGATACTTCTTACTCTGGTTGTTGCCACTAGGAATGTCACTTGAAACTAGAGCTATCTGATAATACCCGTTACAGTGGCCTCTAGCTGGACAAGATGTTTTATCTGAATATTCTTTTATCTGCACGTGGGGACCTTGATCAAATCTGTACCATGTTTCATCTTCCAGATCAAAATCACAGTCTCCGCAAGTGAGAGGTTGCACTGAGGGCACCAGTGGAGAGAAGTCACATGTGTCCCCTGTATTTAGCGTGCGGTCCCAGGCAGTGCTACTGTTTAGTCCTTTATACTCCGTACTTTTACCGTAGCTGCTGTAAGTAGACGGGTCCGAACAGTCCGGATAAGGTGTGGATGATACTGTTGTTAAGAGAAGAAGAACAATATTCCATCTTATCATGTCTTGCTGGAAAATAGCATGATATGGTATTGTTAGACGTGAAAATATATACCGTGCAATTGTATCTGAATCTCATAAATAAAGATGGCAATAAGCTTTATAGAGTCGAATAGTCAACTGAATGGAAAATAAACTATGATTTGACAGGTTCACGGAGTCGGTAATCTTCAAGCGTTGCAACAGTGACATATAATATTTATGTAGAATTAGACAAATTAAACCAGTCACAAGATCGAGCTTAAAATGGAGCAAGACAGAGTACATTGGAGCGGAGAAACTTGACACGCTAGTTATCATCAGCTCTTACCATCACCGGCACTTTTATTTAATCCACTCAGAACTGGAGCACTGAGCTAGGTTTTATGAAAGTTTAAATTCCTTTCAATTATCTGATTAGATGATACGATGCTAGCATGATGCAACTTCTTCATACTTCTGATTCAGAAGGTGAATAAAAATTACAATCAGGCTGTAATTGTAAAGATTGCGGTGTGAATGTTTAAAGAATTTCAGCTCATAGTGAAAATATTTCAACAGTTAGGGTATAAATGGCTGTTCTCCAGTGCTTTTAGCTCGTCAGGAATTATAATAACAATTTTTAGAATTTTTAAACGTCAAAAATGAAAGATAATACACACTGCAACATAAATGAAACGCAGCGAAGCTGAATGATGATTTGAATAAGCGATGAATGAATGAAATTCAACTCCGATCCACTGATAACGTGATAGGGTAATAACAATGGTAAATCCCCCGGTATTACTTACTGTGACGGGTATATTATATCTGAATACTTCTCTTTGGTTACTTATACTATTAATTGCAGCTGCAGTAAAGCTGTAAAGTGATACTCCCCTAGTCAATGTATTTGATAAGGGATTCCAGGAGGAGTCTGATGAATAGTCTCATTAAACTCTAATACAATTATTACAATATTACCACCTATACTTATGTATGACGTATCTATGACGTATGGGGTAAAAGTGCATTTAATAACCGGATGTTCAAGTTATCTAGTCAAATGTAAATGGTTCAAAATTACAGAAATCAGTTTTTCATTTTTAAACAATATCATCATGTTTATCCAAAAGTTGTGAGATAAACAAATCTACAGCTATCAGATAAACTACATATTTATATGTGGAGGCCGAGGGGCGTCACTTCAGTGTTTAGGCAGGTGGCATTTTTTGCCACTATAAATATAATGAAGAATTAATGCCGGTCGAAAAAGATGTGGCGGGGCAGCAAAAAAAAGAATTA